TTGCAGAAGTGCCTTCATACGGCTGTCAACCATGTTTGCCTACTTTATGTTGGAAACGCCACGGCTACCGCTTTGGGCTCTGCTGACAATGAGTGCACAAGACTTATTACCAACACATTACAGTCATCAGGCAGTTGGAGCACACAACCCTTCTATGGGTGAACGAAGTCCCTAATCTTGGCAGCTAAAATTCGGTCACGATTCCTTGTAAAGGACACTACAGTAACAGATACCTCCAGGTTTTTGTCGTACGGGACCGGTAGTAATAAGGGTTTAATAAGTGGGGCATATCAACCTAAGGGAAAAGTAATTAAAATAGTAGAACGATTTAAGGGAGAAAATAATGGGAAGAATTATCTAAATAACCTGGTGGCTCACAAAAGAGCGTGCGACAATTAAAAATGAAAAATAAACCAATGGGAAACAAGAATTCTGCAAGTTGCGGAACTGCACATATTGCGGACATACGGAAAGAGATGCAAATTTTCGGGATAAAACTGAAACGGTGAAAGATAGACTTTTTCTCCATTTTAAGCCGAAAAATAACCGTATTTTGCAAACTTTAGAGGGGTAAGCTAACTAAAATAAAACTAATAAAAATAATAACTAAAAATAAATGAAAGCAAAAACTAAACTTGCTAAACTAAGATAAATTAAAGCAAACTAAATAAACTGAATACTAAACCGAAACCAATAAAATAAATAGTGAACTAAAGTAAATGTAAACGTAAACCAAACTAAACTAAAGTGAGTAAACTCAAAACTAAACACAAAGCAATAAAACTAAAAGTAAACGTTTGCAAGAAAAGTCGTTGTAACATAATGTATAAAAGCACTTCAGTTCAGGATTATATGAAATGAAATAATAAAATAGGCCTACTATCACGAAATAAGTAGGTAGTTCTGTACACTAAAGTACAGAATGCTCTTTGCTAAGAAATGTTTGCTTAAAATTCGAACTTGGATTCTTAAAACGAATACTTCTGTACACTACTTCAAGGCAGACCAAAACCTTACAGTCCGCAGTGAGTGAATCGTATGGCTTTGCGAACTAGGACGAAGGAAAGATAAAACTGAATTACCGCTGGAAAGTTGTCCAAAAATGACCAAGTCGCGCAGCCTGGTCATGTTGTCAGAGTCAGGCAGTCGTCGAATGGAAGGGTTCCTTGAGGCGCGTTCGCCAGAGCAGATTGACTCCAAAAGTCTTACCAGTTCGGGCAATTGCTTAGCTGGCACTTGAAGGTCAAATTTGTAGAATGGACCCGTCTGCTTGCAGGCGTCAATAACATTCTTCCTGAGTTCCCATAGTTTCTGAAATTGGTAAAGCAGGCATTTTTTGTGTGGATAGTTATTTTAGTTCTCCCGACTGGACAGAGGAATGAGGACGCTCTGTAAGACTGGTGGCTTTGCACTAAATTACAGGGAAATTAGGGTAAGAGCTACGGTGAAAGCTTGGGTAAGGTCTAGGACACAGGGTTGAGTAATCTTCCTGAAATGTTGCGCAAAACCATCCTGATTAAGGGAGTGGGGTCTTCATTTTCCCTTGTACTTCTGAGGTGGGACAGCAAGATGGATTCCGACCCACTTTTTATATAGCACATTGACTGAGTAAAGAAGAATTTTTGTGTATGCTCTCCATACTCT